ACTCTTACTAAAACTCAATATTTCCATCCTTGCCCTTTCTTTTGTTCAATGTAGAAAGTAGAGTCAATTGGTGCACTCCGTAGTGAACGTGGGTGTCTCCGGAGTGCTCAGTCTTGGATGTTAGTATACAAGTCTATAGCCTGTGTATGCACCATAGTGCACTTTATTGCACCTTGCCTTACTGTGTGCCAACCACAGACTTGTTTTATTAATAGTACATCGCTACCATAGGATTGCAAAGTTCTGTCTAACATTTTTGTCCGTTTTGAGTAACTAAGACTATGAGGACCGAAACCTACGTTCTATCTGCTCTGTCAAGATCGTAAGATTATTCGGACTTGTCATCAAAATATTCAAAAAATTGCATCCGAAAAGGCTTGACCTGTTGTGAAACTCAAAATTTTTTAATGTCAAATTTCTCAAAAGTAGATACTGAGCAGGTAGAACTTTGTAATTATAGGATAGTGTCATGTCGATGGTGTTATAATAAATCAGAGATTTTATATACAAGATAAGTCACACCGCCCCTAAAAAAGTATCCTCAGCTATTCAATAGTTCCTCCAACGGTGGGCAGCTGGTCTTACTGTAAAGGCCAACACAATGGCTTCCTCCAACCATGGGCAGATACTGGTACTGTAAGTCCTAACAATGGCATCCTCCAACCATTCACAGATGTTTTACAGTATGCTATTGCATTACACCAGTCTGTAAGTCACTGTGGGTGTGATGCCAATCTGTATGTATGTGTGGGTGGTTGGTGGGTGGGTGCTTTGTTGTGGTTTGTTCCTTCTTGCCTACCAAACACCTATCGTCCTTATCTCCCCTCCATCTCTTTTTTGTGTTTGTTCCTTCTTGCCTACCAAACACCTATCGTCCTTATCTTTCCTCCATCTCTTTGTTGTGTTTGTTACTTCTAATCTTCGGCTCTTATATGAGCTCATTGTGCTGCAAGTGCTGTAAACTTCTTTCTTAATCTAAAACTAAACCAGTCTGTATGTCAGTGTAGTTATGATGCCAATCTGTTTGTCATTGTGGCTTTGATGCTAGTCTGTGTGTCATTGTGACTTTTAAGCCAGTCTGTGTGTCATTGTGACTTTTAAGCCAGTCTGTGTGTCATTATGGGTGTGTGATTCCAGTCTGTGTGTCATTATGGGTGTGTGATTCCAGTCTGTGTGTCATTATGGGTGTGTGATTCCAGTCTGTGTGTCATTGTGACTTTTAAGCCAGTGTTTGTGTCATTATGGGTGTGTGATTCCAGTCTGTGTGTCATTATGGGTGTGTGATTCCAGTCTGTGTGTCATTATGGGTGTGTGATTCCAGTCTGTGTGTCATTATGGGTGTGTGATTCCAGTCTGTATATCATTGTAGCTTTGATGCCAGTCTGTGTGTCATTATGGGTGTGTGATTCCAGTCTGTGTGTCATTATGGGTGTGTGATTCCAGTCTGTGTGTCATTATGGGTGTGTGATTCCAGTCTGTATGTCATTGTAGCTTTTAAGCCAGTCTGTGTGTCATTATGGGTGTGTGGTTCCAGTTTGTATGTCATTGTAGCTTTGATACCAGTCTGTGTGTCATTATGGGTGTGTGATTCTTGTTTGTATCGTCAAACTGTTTGTGAATGAAGCTTTGATGCTAGTTTGTATGTCATTGTGGCTCTAATGTTCCCCCAAATCTTTCATCATAATTCTATCGGGACTCATAGTGATGATATCTTCCGCATCTTGACAAAATGCTTTCTTTTATTCACAGCAGTTTTGAGATAAAAAGAAGCTTTGTCAGCGTAAGCATTTGAAAAAGGAGTTTTCCCGAAATTTGAATTCTTGTTAAATTATTATTTGAAAATTTCACACTAGATCTAGTAGGGTAACTGATCAGGTTATCGATTCAGGAATTTTTTTTTTTAATTGGAAAAAGGTATTTTGTCAGCTTAGGGCACATATCCCTTGTGTGGTGTTCATGGCTTGGTTACGACCTTGACCCACATTGGAAGTATGGGCTTGAGGTCAGGTTTTCTGTGTAATTAATAAATGTCTTCTCAATCTGGTGTCCGGGAGTGGAGGGCACCCCTGGTAAATCTTACTTCTTTTCTTGTTCCTCTGTTGTTTCCGAGCTATTCAGTCACTGTAGGTGTGGCAGAATAACACCCTTTTGTACATCCTTCCATTGACTATTTATGTGTATGCGTCCATGTATGTGGATGTATGTGTGGGGGGGGGGGGGTTTTGGGGGGGGTTTGTGTGTGTGTGTGTGTGAGAGAGAGGGTGAGAGTATGTGTGTTTTTGTGTGTTTGTGTAAGAGAGAGGGTGAGAGTATGTGTGTTTGTGTGTGTATGTGTGTGTGTGGTTGTGTGTGTGTGTTGACATGTGTGTATTTATATTCACCTTTCCGCAAAAAAATTATTTTTGTGGAGATCAATAATATCTTGCATCTGTCTGTCTCTCATACTTTTTCACTGTGATGAATGACCATTAAGGTGGATGTGCTGGTCTTTGCTCAAAGTCAAGTCTTGCCTCCTTACTGGTGGCTATGGCCATGGTCTGCCTTCATCATGATCATTTGTTTCCATGAAAGCTTTTGATTTGATCAATAGGACCAAAAAAAATGTTTAATTTGATGGAAATTGGCAGGGTAAACAATTATATTATTTGAGTACAATTGTCGGACCTCTGGTTGACCACCAGTGTCTGTGGTTTATTGTTAAACTCTTCTCTGATACTCACACACGTTACAGGAGTTCGATTCTCTCGCAGGGAAGTCTATTTTATAGAGTATCTCTGTTTTGTATGCTGCATTCCACATAACCCAGTTTGGCCCTGATAGTAAAAATGGTTGTAGCAGCTCTCCTCCTAAAATGGTCAAACTTATGTCGACAGGGAGTTACAATGTGTACGTTAATCATACAATCAACAGATTTCTGTTAGCCTTGTGTACTCCCACTCACCCTTACACCGCTCTCTTCCCGCTTCCGCTCCCCCTCCCATTCCCCAAACCCATTTTCCATGTTGGCCCACTACCCATGTGATAATGCTGTGACCTCTGATTATATAGAATGTCCTTTCATGTGAAAGTCTGTTTTGATTCTCCGTTCTGTTCTGTAGAATGTCCTTTCATATGTAGGTCTGTTTTGTTTCTCCGTTGTGTTCTGTAGAATGTCCTTTCATGTGTAGGTCTGTTTTGTTTCTCTGTTGTTCTATTCCACCCTCTCAACTTAAGAATCATAAAATTACACATCCAGTCTTCTTTACTCTCATTGTCCATCTATTATTATTTCTGTCTATTGGCCTTGGTTTTGTCCTGGCCCTAAATGACCATTATCGTGGCAATATAAGGTTAGATAAGATAAGATACAATACTTTATTGTCCCGGAGATAAATTTTTTCTTGGCTATATAGGACTATAAAAACACATGCAGGTATACATAGAAATTAAATTACATATTACTCTCATTAAAATTAAGTATGAAGAGAAAAGTAAAGCTGACAATAATAATCGACATATCACATCAGATGCATTATTCAACCACATGTAGACATTTTTCACGAGACCTTTACAGTTATAATATAGTTTCATGTAAATGTTGGAAACAGTACATTGATGTTTATTCCAACAGTAGTTTTATTCTAGATGGTAAGAGACTTCTTTTGTATCTTTCTATCTTTGTTCTTAGTGGTACGTATTTGCTTCTCTTTACTCAAATTACAAGAAGCTCGAATCTATGGCTTCCTTTCCTGGTGTTAACATGCGTGACAGCTGTCATGCTGTGTGTCAGGACGTCATGATGCTCTCTGGCTGTCACAAGTGGCACTTTTGTATGGCACTTACTGTGAACTTGGAGCCTTTTTGAACATGTCACATTTTTTCCCCAGCTACGATAACTTTGGTTTGGATGAGTTACTGAATCATTTATTTACAAAAGTTTCATTTGAAATGGTACTGTACCTTTTAATGTCATGCCAAAAAGGTAGAAAGATTATCTTTATGATTCTGGCTTTACAACTCTCCTTGAGATAATGTATGAAACTCTGCTATTCCATATGAGGTAGCCCCTGTCCCCCTTCCTTCTTCCTTAGCCTTAAAGTCCTATGCTTTTTAAAGATAAATATTTCAAATTTTCACTGTAAAGCCAAAGGTCTTTTAAATCTGAAATTGAAATGGAGTAGTTTTTAACATTATAACACTGTTTGAGCTAACTCTTTACTTCGTTGAGTTTGTCTGTGAAGTTAACCTTGCACGTTTTACTAACTATTATATTCTACTTATGTGAAGAACCTAGATAAATATTCTTGTGAATGATCACAAATATCTTATATCTTAACATGTGTTAAAAATGCTCATTTGCATGATATACTATCATATTTTGTCTATAAGTAGCATTGGTTTTCCTAATTGTATTCAGAAGTATTGATCTCTGTTCATTAATCCTCTTTCCTGGAATGTGTACTTATCTGTGTGTTGGTGGGCTGTTGTTTTATACGATGAATGATTTATTTATTCGTGTATTTTTCTCTGGCTCTACAGGTCAAGCATCAGGGCAAGAAAGCAATGGCGAAGATTTCTGCGGTAAAGGATAAGTTAACGTTTTGTTTTATTATTGGGTCATAATGAATAACTGTTAAGAAAGGTAAAAGAGGAATTGTGTTTTTTTGTGTCCACTAAAGATAGCATTTGTTAGAATTATTAACTTGCTCGTTATTTTTCCATGCTATAGGGATGACATTGGAGTAAATGTATGTATTTTTCACTGTGATGAATGACCATTAAGGTGGATGTGCTGGTCTTTGCTCAAAGTCAAGTCTTGCCTCCTTACTGGTGGCTATGGCCATGGTCTGCCTTCATCATGATCATTTGTTTCCATGAAAGCTTTTGATTTGATCAATAGGACCCAAAAAAATGTTTAATTTGATGGAAATTGGCAGGGTAAACAATTATATTATTTGAGTACAATTGTCGGACCTCTGGTTGACCACCAGTGTCTGTGGTTTATTGTTAAACTCTTCTCTGATACTCACACACGTTACAGGAGTTCGATTCTCTCGCAGGGAAGTCTATTTTATAGAGTGTCTCTGTTTTGTATACTGCATTCCACATAACCCAGTTTGGCCCTGATAGTAAAAATGGTTGTAGCAGCTCTCCTCCTAAAATGGTAAAACTTATGTGGACAGGGAGTTACAATGTGTACGTTAATCATACAATCAACAGATTTCTGTTAGCCTTGTGTACTCCCACTCACCCTTACACCGCTTTCTTCCCGCTTCCGCTCCCCCTCCCATTCCCCAAACCCATTTTCCATGTTGGCCCACTACCCATGTGATAATGCTGTGAACTCTGATTATATAGAATGTCCTTTCATGTGAAAGTCTGTTTTGATTCTCCGTTCTGTTCTGTAGAATGTCCTTTCATATGTAGGTCTGTTTTGTTTCTCCGTTGTGTTCTGTAGAATGTCCTTTCATGTGTAGGTCTGTTTTGTTTCTCTGTTGTTCTATTCCACCCTCTCAACTTAAGAATCATAAAATTACACATCCAGTCTTCTTTACTCTCATTGTCCATCTATTATTATTTCTGTCTATTGGCCTTGATTTTGTCCTGGCCCTAAATGACCATTATCGTGGCAATATAAGGTTAGATAAGATAAGATACAATACTTTATTGTCCCGGAGATAAATTTTTTCTTGGCTATATAGGACTATAAAAACACATGCAGGTATACATAGAAATTAAATTACATATTACTCTCATTAAAATCCAGTATGAAGAGAAAAGTAAAGCTGACAATAATAATGGACATATAACATCAGATGCATTATTCAACCACATGTAGACATTTTTCACGAGACCTTTACAGTTATAATATAGTTTCATGTAAATATTCGAAACAGTACATTGATGTTTATTCCAACAGTAGTTTTATTCTAGATGGTAAGAGACTTCTTTTGTATCTTTCTATCTTTGTTCTTAGTGGTACGTATTTGCTTCTCTTTACTCAAATTACAAGAAGCTCGAATCTATGGCTTCCTTTCCTGGTGTTAACATGCGTGACAGCTGTCATGCTGTGTGTCAGGACGTCATGATGCTCTCTGGCTGTCACAAGTGGCACTTTTGTATGGCACTTACTGTGAACTTGGAGCCTTTTTGAACATGTCACATTTTTTCCCCAGCTACGATAACTTTGGTTTGGATGAGTTACTGAATCATTTATTAACAAAAGTTTCATTTGAAATGGTACTGTACCTTTTAATGTCATGCCAAAAAGGTAGAAAGATTATCTTTATGATTCTGGCTTTACAACTCTCCTTGAGATAATGTATGAAACTCTGCTATTCCATGTGAGGTAGCCCCTGTCCCCCTTCCTTCTTCCTTAGCCTTAAAGTCCTATGCTTTTTAAAGATAAATATTTCAAATTTTCACTGTAAAGCCAAAGGTCTTTTAAATCTGAAATTGAAATGGAGTAGTTTTTAACATTATAACACTGTTTGAGCTAACTCTTTACTTCGTTGAGTTTGTCTGTGAAGTTAACCTTGCACGTTTTACTAACTATTATATTCTACTGATGTGAAGAACCTAGATAAATATTCTTGTGAATGATCACAAATATCTTATATCTTAACATGTGTTAAAAATGCTCATTTGCATGATATACTATCATATTTTGTCTATAAGTAGCATTGGTTTTCCTAATTGTATTCAGAAGTATTGATCTCTGTTCATTAATCCTCTTTCCTGGAATGTGTACTTATCTGTGTGTTGGTGGGCTGTTGTTTTATACGATGAATGATTTATTTATTCGTGTATTTTTCTCTGGCTCTACAGGTCAAGCATCAGGGCAAGAAAGCAATGGCGAAGATTTCTGCGGTAAAGGATAAGTTAACGTTTTGTTTTATTATTGGGTCATAATGAATAACTGTTAAGAAAGGTAAAAGAGGAATTGTGTTTTTTTGTGTCCACTAAAGATAGCATTTGTTAGAATTATTAACTTGCTCGTTATTTTTCCATGCTATAGGGATGACATTGGAGTAAATGTATGTATGTGTGTGTATATATATATATATATATATATATATATATATATATATATATATTGTGTGTGTGTGTGTATATATATATATAGATATATAGATAGGTTAATGATAGATAGATAGACAGACAGACACACACACACATAGACACTCACAGACAGACAGTTAGATAGATAGATTTCCTCTGTTTGCTTTTGTCTGTTTTACCTTCTCTTTGCGCTAAACGGACGTTATTGTGTCAATGTGCTTCTCTTTACTCTGACAATCAAACAAAATTACCTTCTTTTCTTTTAGATGACAGATAATGATGAAAAGCGTAGCACATTCCAAGCCTCAGGAGGCATTGTTCACAGCAGACAGTCAATCCGCCAGTCGTCCAGTTCTGACTCAAGTCTGGGGCCGGTAAGTGTGGAATGGGTGGTCAGTTTCTCGGTGAATGGTGGTGGGTTTTGGCACATCAGTTGTGCCTGTGAGGTGGACATGTGGGAAGAAGTGTGTGGAGGATGCCACTAAGGTCTCCAGTCTTTGCTCTCCCCCTCTGTGGTTACTATCTTGCTTTTTTCCCTGCGCTGTCTGACCAGCGGGTGTTTGGCGGGTGCTCTGGTGTGGTCGGCTCCTTCTTTCCTGTCAGACATCTATTGTCCTGATCTCTCCTCTTTTTGTGTTTGTGTTTGTTACTCTCTTGTAACACCTCTTATCTTCGGCACTTATATTAGCTTTTATTTTTCAAGTGCCATAAAACTCTTTCAATGTCAGACCATGATTGTGTCGTAAAAGCCTGGGAAGGCTGAGATGAAGGCGCTGTACCTGGCTATCAAAAGTGACTCAGTCCGACCTCTAATATACCCCCCCAGGAGGCTACTGTTGCGAGTAGTTTGTGAGCTCCGGCTTGCTGTATTGACAGGCATATCGCTACCTAAGAATTCTATCTGCTCAGTACCTGGTTTTGAGAAATTAGACGTTAAAAAATTTGAGCTTCACAACATGTCAAGCTTTTTCAAATGCAATTCTTTGAATATATTGATAACGACTTTGAATTATCTTACGATTTTGATAGAGCAGATAGAACATTTGGTTTCTGACCTCATAGTTGTTGTAACTGAGAATGGCAAAAAATGTCAGATAGAACCTTGTAATTCCAAGGTAGTGATATATTGGGGATTTGGCATGTAGGCTGGTGGTTGGTCACTGAGATGTATTGTATCATGTCGACACTAGCTGAAAAAATAGGGCGATGCACCCATCAATTGTGTGTTAGTTGAATTGTCTGTATTTGTGTGATGTTGTGTTTTATGTTACTTAGATATAGCTTTTATGTTATTTTATGTATGTGTTGTACATGCCGTTGTAATGTAACCTAAATTTCTCTCTTTCTGGACACGGCATTCCTTATACTTATTTGAGATTTGCGGCCTTCTATTTTGTCTTTGCTCAAAAGCAAACTTGATCCCTTTCTCAAATATTGTCTTGTGATCTGAGCCAACCGGATGTGTGCACATATAAACTTAGCTGCATTTGGTTCGCTGAAGGGTAAAAGTAGTGCACACCAGGTGTGTGCTTGGGTTTATAAGGTTATATAAAAACACACCGACAATACGATAGCTCGGCTGATGAAGCGCATAAATATGTCCTCAGCCTCCTCGTCCTCCACCGCCCCAGAGCCAGACCAAGCCAGCGACTGCCCGGCAGGAGAGTGTGAGCAGGTGAGTGTCTGTGTCTCAGTAGTGACCTGGTGCTTCAAGGGGGGGGGGGGGGGACACAGGTTTAGTAGATTTATTCAGCTTCGCATTTGCTATTTCCTCTGGAGGCTTCGTGGCATTGCACAAACATTCACGGACTGAAGATTGGGAGGTGCCTCAAACCTCAAGGGTTTGATCCTTATTCAGTGCCGGAGGGGAGAGGGGGGGAGAGTCTGTACTGTGTACTTGGGGAGAGGGGTGGCACAGTACTGTATTCAGGGTGTCCCAAAATAAATTGTATATGTTTTAAAGCGCATAATTCGGTAACAATTGAACAGGAATAACTTTTTTAGACAAAAAGAAAACACAACCAAATACTTGTTTGATTATAATATTGTCAATACAACTTTCAACCTTAACCAAAAATAAAGAGAAAATTGATAGATAAACCAAAAATCCTCATAAAGGGAATTATGCTAAATTATACAATTTCAACACTCATTGCTGGAACTTAATGCAACCAAGTAGTGAAACGTGAAACTCCTCACAAACATGAACTGTTTGAACGAAGAAGTGTACAATGACAACACTTCATTTTTCTCAGATTTTTCTCAGATCATAGCAAATGCGTGAAATGTACTCCCTTCCCGTGGACACGCTGCCTCACACGTCTTGCTAAATTTGCTACCACGTGTCAGTATGCTTATCTTTACTCAAAGTAACCAACACAGAGTGGCTGTTATCGTGGTGATACATTTCTATTTTCTCGATACACTTTGACGTGTGCACGTGTGTCACTCCAGGCCAAAGTCCAAGCTAACGTCAGAGGACAGCTTGGACGACATGAGGCTGAGCTACCACAAGGTGGACATGACACTCATGAATGATGACGACATCCAGGCCGCCATGATGAGGTCAGCCAGTGCAGAGATGCTGCCCAGACGGGTGAGTGGCCGGGTGGAGGGGGGGAGCTTGAGGGGAAGGGGGAGGGAGGTGGTCGTCCACAAAGGGAAGTGTTTTATGGGATCATAACAATTTTAGAAAAGATTCTGAAAATGGACATCAGTCACAATTCTTTGTCTGTAGTGTCTTTGCTCCAGGTTCAAAATGTAGATATTATTTAAATTTAACGCGCTTCCTACCATCCACTTTTTTATGGTTGTTTTTATTATTTGACTAAGCGAAATAAATAAACTACATTTGTGTTTGAAAATACAATTGGGTAAATTATGAATTGTTGGTTTTCTCTTTCCAGGACTCAAGCGGTTCGTCCTCTGTTAGCAGCGACTCGGGAGAAGACGACGACAGCGGCAACATCCCATTTGACAGTCTTCACAGCTCGGAGGAGGGGGAAGGTTAGACTTGTGTGTTTGAGAGATTTGCTTGTGTGATATTTGGATCACCAGTGATTGGTGGGAGTTTTGTTGTAGTTTGCTCTCTCAACATTTTTATAACCTTTTGAGCCCTAGCCACTGGCACGTAAAATGTCTGTATGGTGAGCCTCCAGTACACCGGTGAGCGAGACCCTGTTCCCAATCCAGCCTGTCTAGGACAAAATGTTCACACAGAAAACTGTGTTCTCTATACAGGATGTTATTGATTATTTTGGAGATCTTTCTGAATTAGTAGTGGTAATAGCGAAGACTACCCTGAGTGGAATATGGAATGTGATTCTGACAATGATATGTATCAGAGTAATATATCGTTCAGGAAGAGGGGCACAGTAGCCTCAGGTCGGGGCTAAAAGGGTTAAAAGGTTAAATGTCATGTGGACAATACCTCTCTGCCGTTAACCCTTGTTAATGGTTTTTGTTAACAAGAGCTGTATTCCAACTGTGAGTGGATGGTCCAAGCCCTGGTTCCCAGAGTCTTCAGGGCCCATGCACTTGAACTTCCTTGTGTGCCACTTGTATGTCTTGCTTCTTTTTCTTTTTCATGTCCTGTCAGTTTGCTTTTTTCCCAGCATCGTGTCAACATTTTCTTTTTACTCAAACTAAACTCCAAACTCACCAGACTGTGATTTGAGGTTCAATCTGTCTCCTCTCTATCTTACTTTTCCACTGTACTAAATGGGCCTTGTCATGTGGATTTTCTTCCCCTTGCACAAACGAACAAAGAAAAACATACACAACTTCTGTTGTTCTACTGGAGGTTAAAAATTTTTCTTCTTCTTCTTTTCCTCCTCCTCCTCCAGAGGGCGACGGGCCTGCCGCATGCAGTCAGATATGTGACGACCTCATTGGGTTTGGTCCATAGCACCTTTGGTGGGGGCGCGATATTGTCTTGCAGCAGTGGCTTGCGGCACTCGTCTCTGTGCGGGCGCTCGAATAGTGTGTGTCATAAGTCGTCGGGACTGACACCACATCTCGGCTGCGAGTCATCTTGGGTAAAGCTTATCCTATGTAGGTATGGCTGTAGGATAAAATAGGACTCTTCTCACCGCACCGTAATTGTGACAATATTCTTCTTTGTCCCTGGAGAGATAAAATGTTATTTAATTATTTATTATTTTCTCCATGTCCCACTCCTGTGGTTAGTGGTTTTACCTCGGGATTTGTCTCCCCAGGCCTGGTGGTCAGCCCTGACGGGGAGGAGGGCTCCGAGATTCCTGTGGATATCACCATGGTGACCGTTGTCTCCAACAAGCCCGGCTCTTCTTCCTCAGGTGTGCATTTGGGCTCCTTTTCTTGTTTTGTTTTGGGGGGATTCGAAGCTCTTCTGTATATGGAATAAGTTGAATGCCTTGTCGTCTGACAAAGTCTGTGTTGAGATCAGATATTTGAGGAAAATGAGACTTTGACTGCATCAACACAGTTGTTTTTGATCCCTCAATAATTTTACTGGAAAACCGAGAAAAAAAAATTTGTGAGGCAACGTGGTGAAATCAGGTGCTCGTCATAATAATGAAATTGAAGAATCAGGCATTTTTCCTCCATTTTGGCAATTTTTATTGAATTTTTGTTTTTTCGCTCAACACCCTTTATGTCCATGTAGAAACACATTTCCTTGTGAATTTTATTGAAAAACATTGATCAAAGGCACAAAATATATGATGTATCTGTTTTCTAGGACTCTCAAGCTATTGAATTTGCCAAACTTTGTCGGCCATTTTCTCGCAAATTTTACCACTGAAATCAGGCGACCCCACCTCCTTCAATCACAAATATCTAGACTTCTATTCAAGATAGATGGGTGGGTTTTTTTTGGTGAAAGCAAGGCAGTTGAATAAGCTATCAAATGATATCGATAACTCCACATGCCCGAAAATTGACAAGCGCCTGATTCCACTGCGTCGTGACATATTTGTTTTAAAGATAATAAGGAAGTTATTATCAAAAATATATTCTTAAAAATACTGATGTAGGATGTTTGCAGAGAGTTGCTTTCTTGGTAACAACATTCATTTTTTTTTGGTTCTCCTGTAAAATTGTAAAAATTGCAAATACTGTACTTTTATAAATGATGGCAGCTCTGCCTACAGTTGTACCAAACTTATGCTTTAGGGGATAAGATAAGATGAGATACATTTTATGGAGATGGTCTTCAGTTATAAGAGATTGAATCATTTTTAAATTAAGTGATGTTAACTGATGAACTATGAGGGTTCAAATGGCAGAAAGGGAAATAACAATGTATTAAGGCTTGTCTTTTCATTTAAAAAATGTTTTTTTAGGGGGGGGGGGGGGAGCAAAATTAATGACAGACTAAAGAGCCAATGTGTTGTTTTATCAATGTTTGGAATTTGCTGCAAGCAATAAGACAAGACCTGTTTGTTTGTTGTATCATCAGGGGGAGATAAACTCATCCTGTCCCGACCCCGCCCTTCGCCCAGCTCCAGCACAACACCAGTGGCGCCCCCTCGTGGTAAGAGGAGCAATCGTGCTAGTCCAAACGTGAGCCCCATGGCCACACCTAATATGGGGGCGTCCCGCACAGCGGTACAGCCGCAGTCTGCCACCGTCCCCAAACCTCTGCCGCGCACCGCTAGCATGAGAGCTACCACTGCAGAGCCCTCACTGCCAGTCACCACCGCCACTGTGCAAGATGCCCCTTTGATTAGGTTCGAGTCTAGCGAGTCTGATGCAACTGATTCAGACATCTTTGATCCGTTAGCAGGAGCGAAGTCTCCAAGTGCGACCAGCCCGCAGGAGTCTTCACTTGAGACTGATGGTATCGAAGGCGGGCAGCCCCTGCAGAGAAATGTAGGGTCTCGCAGCTCTCTGTCACGCACGAAGGCCTTCCGACGGGAGAGTGTAGGGGTACCGTTGCGGCCAGGCTATCGTGAAGATAAGTCACCGGACAACCGCGAAGGTTCCACTGACCATCAAATGTCTAGTTTTGACCCGCTGTCTGATCTGGCCGGGATATCTCTCTCAGCCACACCGGCGTCCTCGGCGGCGGCTACGACAGCATTAACTGTGGCAACAACAACGACCAGCCCGAAGGCCTCGGACCCTCTGGCCAGCCACTCGCCGCGACGTCAGAGTTCGGATCTCCTCATGCATGAGTGGTCACTAGCCTCACTGCCCAAAGCCCCAACCATTGTGCTGCCAGTCAATGCGCCACAACCAGGATATCGCTTCCAACAACCCAGCCAGTTTCGACCGACACAGAGCATGAGTACTTCGCAGTGGGCGGGAAATTCTGGGGCACCTGCACATATGTCAGGGCACATGGTCCCTGCACAGTATCAAAGCTCAAGAATCCAAAACAACCCTTTAAGTCAGAGCGTCCCTGGTCCCCAGGCAGGAACCTTCCGCCAGACACAACCAGCTCCGCACAATAAACCCTTTCAACAGACAGGTCAACTGCCCCTACAGCCTGTAATGGGCCAGCAACCTCTTAAACCAACGGCCCAGCCAGTGCCGTTACAACCAACCGGCCAAGTGCCAGCAGTTTCCATGTCCAATAGGGTCTCTAGTAGGACAAGCTATTCTCCCTATTCCTCCAGTCACGCGCCGTCAACGATGGGTAACATGGCACAAACAGCACCACGGACGGGGTCTGCCCCAGCTCCTTCCAGCGGCTCGCCATTTTATTCCGGAGGATTCCGCCACGTGCAGTCACCAGCGTCTGGTACGGGAACTAACTCGGGAGCACCTCGACAGTTGAACTCGGGTCAAGGGAGCGCTTCCTCCTCCCCTGCGAGAACGATGGCAAACCCTGGGGGTGTCAACAAACTGCCGGACAATCTGTTCAGCGAGTTCTTGCCAGGCTTCGGAAGTACTTCCGCAGCTGCTCAGGGTAATGCGCAGCAGAAAGACTTGGCATCTGCTTCTCCACAGAGAACTACAGCAAACACCAGGGCCCCTCCCGCGCGGCCCCCACAACCTCAAAAGTGGACGACTTTTGATTAAGTGGAAAAATACCCCAAAATAGTCAATTAGGTGTACAAATTATTTATTTCATTTGACAAGAATAGCATACAATTTGAACGCCCTCAGACTGATGAATGGATGACTCTTGAATACATAGGAATCTGAAAAACAAACACATAAAGAGAGTGTTGGGTGTTTAACTTATTTGTTTCTGGTGAAAACTGATGAGAGAGTCTGGAAAGAGAATGTTCCTGTTCATGTCCTATTGATAGTGGTAGAAACAGGCTGTTCTGTGGCAGAGGGAATTCTTACTAACATTCCAGACAGCAACCCAGTCGAAAACTATCTCTTTCAATATGGAGACATTTTGTGGATGATCAACATTTTTTTAGGGTTCTGTTTTTGTGGAGTTCCAGATAAAAGAAATGTGTCCCTGTTTTAAACTTCTTTTTTTTAGACTCGGTGAAATGTGACAAGTGTGTTTGTTTAGACGGGTGTTCAGTCAGCGGCTAGATATTCTCCTAATGAGTGTCAAAACAGACTCAAACCTCGGCCAAAAACTTGTGATGAGTGCCAGTGTGTGGAAAAGAATAAATTGTGTCTGGCTTAAGTAGGAGAGTATCATGCATTTCTCCAAAAAAAAAGTTTCATGTTTAACTTATATACCATAGATACTCGCCTATAATACAATCTTGTATACAACATGGAGGGGGGGGATGTGTAATGCTTAAACTCCAAAACACCCATTTTTTTAGGTCGCTTGTATAATTCAAGGTTAATTTCTGACATGCTGGAGGCAGCTCAACATGCCTGGAATGAAGTACTAGTCAGGCATCAAAGTGTCTTGTCTTTAAAGATGGTTGTTGCACCGAGACTGATTTAATCCATTAGAAGGGGCTGACAGTTTTTTCAAGCGAGATGTCATGATGTGTTTTAAACCAGATTTTTAATTGTTAAATGGAAAATCTTGTTCAGCATTACTCTTTCTTTGTTTGGGCCCGATCCTGACTCCGTGTCGCGCGAAAAGTGAGATGCATATACTTTTGGACCTATTTTTCAGAAAAATCGTTCGTATTGTAGGTGAATATATATATGGCAAATTAAATATGTGTGTATATATACATAAACATAAATATGGAGAGAGAGGGAGGAATGCGTTATGTCATATCGTTGTATACGCAAACAGGTGATATTTGCTGTAAAGAAAGAGCTCTAAGCTTGTGTTAGTCAAATTGCTTTACAAACACGATTGTGTTCTTCTTCGGCCTCTGCTGAAGTCTTTGGTTTTGAAAGAAATGTAATGTATATACACTGGGAATTAATAGCATGCAATGTAATATAATGCCAATGGTTCAGGGGAAAATGGTACAGTTTTACAATAATATTGAATGGTATATTTTTATTTGGCTCTGCAAGGTTGTCACGGCACATTTTCCTGTCAGGGCAGTTGTCGTAATTTACATTGTCATTTTGATTTGGTTTGAATGGTTCTGGCTTGGGTTTTTGTTTGAGTCTTTTTTTTTGGTTTTTCGTTTTGGGGTTGTTTTTATGGGGGGGCGGGATGTTGTTCCTGTGTTCTTCATGTTGAGCTGTCCATTGCAAAAACCATTGCTCATACACACAGTGCTGACAATCATTTTGAGCATTGGCGGGGGGATATATTCTCGGTGAGAAGTAATCATTAAGGATAGATACTGGGAGGCCTGGTCCTTTTCATGGCTTAAAATCCTCACAGAGCCTTGCGGGTTTACAAATATGGGAGGGGGGGGAGAATAGTCTAGGACTGTTTGCTCACCTTTTATCCAAACACAGAGCACTGTCCATTTATAACTCTTCAACTGCCAACCTCTGTTATTTGTACTTCTTAACTATTTTTCTATCAATTTATTCATCTGTCTCGTCTTTCTTTGTTTCCTGGCACTTACTGACGATTATTCCACCTATGCATTTCTTTTTTCTCCAAACTGATCAAAGGCCTGGTGTACTTCAGAAAAAGGGCATTTCTATAGGTATATCATTTCTATTTCTCTGGTGTTGAAGGGTTTTATACAACAATTCATATATTTTTGCTTTCGCAGTCCTTGTCCTTGACTACTGATTGGGGGGGGGGCGAGTTTGCGTCTGAGTTATCAGCATTCTTTTTGTCATTATCCATTAGAGCCATTGTTTAATGTCTTTTTACTGTTGTGTCAGTAAGTTTTAAGAATTATCTGGCTAAATATGATCCATGGGGGATTCTGGTTTCCACAGCCACAAGTGTAATGTGTTGACCACTATTAACAAATCCTGAATAATACTGTGGCTGTAATGTGCTGACTGAATATCTTGATGAGTACTGCAGTGACATAGCTGTAATGTGTTGGTTGAATGTTAGAAATCCTGAAGAGTTTACAAAGGCTACACAGCTGTAACGTGTTGAAGAGATTATATATAAATCCTGAAAACTAGCCGGCTAGCCTTCTGTGGCTACGTAGCTGTAATATGATGGCTAATTGTAATTAATCCTGAAGAGCTCCATGGCTACAAATCTAAATGTTTTGACTTATGTAATAAATGCAAAAAAGTAATTGCAGTTACATACGTGAAGCAGCGTCGTGAAATCAGGCGCTCGTCAAAATACGGAAATCAGAGAAACAGGAATTTTCTCACCAGTTTAGAAATTTGTATCGAATTTTTATTTTTTGTCTCTACCTCTTTTATGTCCATATTAAAACACATTTCCATGTGGATTTTACTGAAAAATGTTCATTAAAGCCACAAAATATGTCATTTTTCTGTTTTCACTGACGCTTTAGCTATTGGAGTTACCAAACTCTGGCGGCTAATTACATGCTAATTTCGCCACTGAAACCAGGCGACTTTACTTCCTTCAATGGCAAATATCTTGAGTTCTATTCAAGGTAAATGAACATTTATTTCATTGAAAGCAAGGCTAATAAATCAGCTTTCAGATAATACCAAAAACTCCACATGCCCCAAAATTGATGAGCGCCTGATTCCACCACATATGAGTAGTGTGTTGCTAAATGTAATAAATCCTGAAGAGTACCCCGGCTTTATAGCTGCAATGTGTTGACTGAATTTAACAAAAATCTTAAAGAGTACAGTGGCTACATTGCTGTAGTGTATTGAATAACAAGATAGATAGATATATATATATCAAAGTGTTGAGTTTTTGTTATAAAAAGCTGTCACAAGTTGACTTCATTGATGTGCTGTATTTGTGTATATGTGCATACTCAAGACCTGGCATCAATACTCACACTGTCATTGATGGTTACTCGTGTGGCTTCCCACTAGTCATGACACATATGCTATGTCATGGTCCAGCTGGGTGTTGTTTTTTTTTACTTATGAGTTGTGAGTCGGGAGTTTTGGAGAAGGTTGGGGTAAAGGTTTCACCTGTTTTTGAAGTTGTCTGCAATGTGTTGAAAGGATTGTAAAACTGGTACTGGCCTTCGCTTTTGTAAAGATTAGGAAGAAGAAGAAG